TCTATACATACTTTATATCTGAGCTATATAGAGTGTAGTTAGTCTATATATCTGAATACTAGCTACACATACTCCCCATACATACCATATATCTATCACTAACTAATATATCAGATATATATATATACTTTGCTACCGATATACCACATATAGACTCTCAGTTCTGTTCAGGTCTGCTACAATTGCCTTCAACTTTGAGTAGCTAGTTGTAAATCAAATGTATTCACCTCCACGATCTGTGAATACATTCAAATACACTCACTATGCACACGTTATTAACAAGTGCATGAACTACGCTTGCAAACACATAGACGAATTTCAGTCTATTATTCATTTCATTCATTCGCATATTCACTTGATTTACGACTGACAAAAAAAAGAAAAAACAGAAACAGAAGAAGAAGCAGAAAAAAATGGCTATATAGTACTTCCGGTTGGCGCTGCTCACAAATCAAAGCGCCTTTTATGTAAAATAGTTGGCAACGCGTGTTTAAGCAAATGATTTACGAATGCGTCTGGCATTAGATATGACAGCGAGGCAGGCGCAGGGCAGGTCTGTAGGGGACCTGGGACCTGGGGACTGGCGGACTGGGGGACGGGGGGCTGGTAGCTGGGGACTTATCGCCGCAACAGCATCGTTTGCCAGCATCAAATTTTATTTAATTTTTTATTTATTTTGGGCGAAAAATAGCCGCAAATTTATTGTCGAAAAGGCAAAAAAAAAAAAAAAAACAAAAACAAAAACAATGAAAAAAAGCCAAAAAAAAAATGGTGAAAATATGCGAGAAAAGAGGTTACAGCTGCCGCGCCGACTGCTGAGTTGGGTTTAGTTGGGCTTTTGGTTTTTGGTCATACGATGCTCTTGACTCTCGCACACACACACACACTTATATATATATATATATATATGTGTGTGTGCAAAGTAACCCAAAGAGTCATAAAAATAAAAAATAGCCCAAGTAAATGTCAAATAAACTTTAACGGTTTTTCTTATTTTTCTTCGCTTACGTGTACGTGTGTGTCTGTCTGTGTGAGTGTATTCGTAGCCAACACATGCCTGTGGGCAACTGGCCGGAGGGTGGGCACACGCAAGGTGGCCATAAAGTTTTTTTGAAGCAATGACCAAAAAAAAAAGGCGAAAAAACCGCCACATAAAATACAACAAACTGACCGAAACGAGCAGCAGCGGCAACAGCAACAACAAACAGTTGCTGCCACAGTTGCAAAAACTGAAACTGCAAATAAAAATAGTCCCCTCGAACGGTCAACAGCAGCAGCAACAACAACCAGAACACAAGCACCCAACAGAGCGAGCGAGCGAGAGAAACAGATGAAACGAGACAGAGAGAGAAAGAGAGAGAGAGAGTGAGCCACAGAACCACACATAAGCCACATACTATATATTATGTGCACCGCCAAACGACAACCGTAAATCTGCGGTATTTTTCATGTGGCCATGAGGCAACAACAGCAACAACAATGGTCAGTGGCAGCAACAGCAGCCTCTGGGCCAAGTTGGTAAGCTGGAAGCTGAAAGCTGTAAACTGTAAGCTGGCCAAAAGGGTCGGCTTGAACTTTGGCATTGCCGCTGCGCACTCTTTAATGTGGCCAGGATTTGGCTTTAAAGAGCCAACAACAACGAGCAACAGCAACAACTGCCAGTCGAACTGCTGACCAAAAATATTATTCTTTTCCTTGGTTAGTTGGCTCATGCGTGTGGCCAACATCAATTGGCATGTGCCAAATTTCTTGCAATTCAATCACAAGTAAAATATCAAAAAATAGGCCCGGAATATATTGCTTAGCTGACTCTCAACTAGTTTGATAAGAGGTGCTTATTGCAAGAGATTTCATAGTCTACATGAGGAAGATCTCACGTGATGAAGATCTAATGTGACATGCAAAGCTGTCAGCTAGAACTGAGCTTGACTAACTTTCGACTAACTGCTTTGTAGCCTTAGGATATTCAAAATGAAACTTAGCAGTGTTCTGTGAAGAGTCACAAGTACTCTCTCTCTCTTAATTATAAGTTTGCCTCTCTTTCCCTCTCAACAACTCCTTTACTTTCAGCTCTATTAATTCTCATTCACAATTTTAGCTTCTGTTCGATTTCTTATCTTTGTGGCTTATCACTTGCTCTCCAGCACTTGACTTGACTTGCTCTCTCACGCTCTTGCTCCCTCTCTCTCTCTCCCTTACCATCTAACTCACTCTCTCTCTCTCTCTAGCCCTGTCTCTTTCTCTCTTTTGCTCTGCAAACTAAATGGTCGTCAGCTTAGTTATGTTCTTTCTGTTTTTTTATTGCTTATCGCCCGGCAAACAGTTTAATTTATATGACAAGCCATAAATTCACGCTTCAATTTTTCATTTCGTCAACTGTCCTTTTTTTAGTATTATGATTCGCTCGTGGAAATTGTCGCCATAGTTTTTTTTACTTTGCCGACGGTGCAATGCGGCGTATACGCAATTGGCTTAGTTTAGCCAGATGCGAGTGTGTGTTTTTTTTTTGTGTCTCGCTGTTTACATTTGTTGACGCACTTTCCGACGGCGATTTCGCGTTGCACTTGGCGCCGCTTTTCCGTAGCACTAAGTGAAAAATCCGTTGCACGTAATTAACGCAATTAAAATCAAAACATTAATGACCTGCGCTCGGTGCCAGGACGTCGACGCCGGCGTCGGCGCTGGCGTCGTCGTAAGCGTTGACGTCAGCGTTGACGCTGGAGCCCTACAGCCATGCACACTCGCACTCACACACGAGCGCGCGTAAGTGGCAGCAGTGACGTTGACGCTGTCAACAATTTGGCCAGCAACGCAAAAAATGTCCGAAATAAAATCAAGCCAAAATATTCTCGCACAGCTGCTTAATGTTGTTTAATTGCCCTGCATGTGTGCGTGCGCTCGTGTTAGTGTGTGTGTGTGTGTGAGTAATAAAGCATGCCTACTTATTGGGGCAGCAGCTCTCAACGGCAAAGGCAGCCAAAAAAGGGAAAAAAAAGCAAAGGAAAATAAAAATTCAGCCAGAGCGCAGCCATTTTGTGGCTGAGCATAAGGCAAATATTTCAGCGCTGCCAGCGTCGGCAGCGACGTCGCTGCGCAGACGCCAGGCCGCAGCGCCCCTACAATGCGTGCGAGTGCGCAGCTGCCAGGAGAACGCTGACAGAGCAGACACACTCTCGCTCTCTCTCTGTCTCCCTTACGCTCTCTCTTTGGGTCGCAGTCGCTGTGGAGTACTGCGCTCGGCCGCCGTCGGCGCCGCTGCTGCATTCGCTGCTTTCCCCATGCAGCGAGCAGCGGTAACAAAAATGGCAGCGTTGAAATATTTAACGCCGCTAAGTATGCTACGAAAATATATCCCAAAAGCCACTGCCAGCAACAACATTTGCTGTAAAATTTAAAATTATTGCCACAACACGAAAAACAAAGATGATGAAAATGAAAATATTTTGCGGCAGCCAAAAAGGAAATGCGAGGCGTTGCTGCGTGTGACAGCAGTCACCGGCTCGCTCTCCCTCTCTCTCTCACACTGTCTCTCTGTCTCTCTCTCTATACGTGAGTGCGCTGAGCATTTAAAGCTTTAATTGGCCCCCATAATTATGTCGCTCGGCAGCAACAACATTAAAGCAGAACCTTTAAGCTACAGACAGCACTGAGCTCGACTGCCTCAGCCACGACTGTGCGAGGCTGTGTGAGGCTGTGCGAGACCGCTGCCAACTTAGCTTTTTTGGGGTTTTAAAGCGTATAGAAAAGTGAAAATGAATGCCGGGCATACGGCAGCAGTTAAAGCAGCTGCAAAGCCAACTGAAATGAGAACTAATTTGTTAGCTCACATAGATAAAAACACATCCATAGAAATTCGAATAGATTTTTCAGCTGAAAGTTTTTGCATCGACGTCAATATAATATGTGAGCGGGCAAACTTATTGTTAAAGTATGTCAGTAATTCATAAGACAAACAGCTGAAAAGGTCAAAGCGAAAAATATTTTGAGCTGAGCTCAAATAGAACAAAATAAATTTATTTAAAGTTGCAAAGCAGAGGGAAGCTAGCTGCGTGCTGTAAACAAGAAAAGTTATTTGATTTTCTTAATATATATTTATATATATGTGTGTATACTTTATTTATATGTAACTTCGGCTACATTAGCTACTTGAAGCTTAACAAAATCTATTCAAATGCAAACAAAATGCTTTCAATAAAATATAATTTATTATTTCTGTTTAAGGCGCTTTGAGAATTTTGTTGCCGTTGCCAACGCTTTGAACTTAAGTCAACTTGAAGTCAAGTGTATGAGTGGGTGTGTGTGTGTGCTTGTGGTAGTATATGCATGCGCTTTGCGTATTGTGTAAATATTTGCCAAGCATTTAGCTGTGAAGCTGCAAGCGCTAAAGCGTTTGCTGGAGAACAAAAAAAAACGAAATAAAATAAAAATGAAAATATTTCGATGGCAAACAGAGCGAATTAACAACAACAACGTGTGCCACTAATATCAAGAATTAGAATAACAAGCTTAAAGTTATTCCCACGATAATTTCAATGGCAAATATTTCTATATCAAACTATAAACAATTAGTGCAAACAAATGCAGCGCGCGGCGTTGGCCAAAAATTAAAATATTTGGCCAAAGCAGCAACAAAAACAAGCGAAAAAAAACAGCGAAACAACAACAGAAGCAACAATAGTTGCAGCAACAACTATTGCAAATTGCGCCTAAATAGACCCAAAGCGGCAACAGCAGAGCCGCTCGGACTAAGCATCCCCGCGACCCTTTCCTCGTTCGGCGTTTTGTTCAACGCGGCGTATGCGCAATTTTGTATTTATAGCTGATATCATTAGGGCGAGGCGCGCGGCCCTTAAAAAAACAATAGGCAAAGCTTGTTGCTGGCTTGTTGAGCACATTGAGCCGCCTCCTCAGCCTGCCCGCCTGCCCTTCAGGCGCAATTAGCATAGATGAGCCCCCAGCGAACGGAAGAGATTTACGATTTTCGGCCGGGCCTCACTTACCGCTCAGCGAGTTGTGGCCGCAGGATGGCGCCTTGCCCAGCAGATAGTCGTCCTTGCAGATAAACTTATTGTCATCCAGCACGTAGAGCTGCTCGCCAGTGCTCAGCTGCTTGCGGCAAATGCAGCATGTGAAGCAGTTCAAGTGGAACACCTTATCCCTCGGCTTACGCACCAGATCCGAGGGCGCAATGCCTTGACCGCAGCCGCTGCACTTGGTGCCGTAACGTCTAAGCAAAGGAAGAAGATAAGAAAATAAGATTCAATTATTTAGCAGAATTTATTGATACTTTTGACATATATAAAGTAGACTGTCTCGGTAGAATAAGCGTAGTAGAAGTCTCTATTGTAGAGAGAATGTTCTTCAGAGTTTGATTGACTGCAAAGGCTGATTGATTGATGAACTAACAGATTGATTGACCAACCGACTGAAATGCGTTTAGCTGACTGATTGATTGACTGCCTAACTGATTGACCAACTAATTGATTGATCGACTGAATTGCGGACTGATTGATTGATTCAATAGTTGATTGACTGATTGATTACTGCATAACTGACTGACTAACTGACTGATTCAGCGATTGAACTTATGATTGATTGATAAACTCAATAGTTGATTAACGGACTGATTGAGTGATTGATTGACTGCCTAACTGATTGACCAACTGACTGATTCAGCGATTGAATATATTATTGATTGATTGACTTAATAGTTGATTGACTGACCGAAAAACGTATAGCTGACTGATTGAGTGATTGATCTACTGCCTAACTGATTGACCAAATAATTGATTGATCGACTGAATTGTTGACTGATTGATTGACTCAATAGTTGATTGACTAACTGACTAGCGTATAGCTGACTGATTGATTAACTGCCCAACTGACTGTTTGATTGAACTGGCTGATAGATTGACTGATTGATAGATAAACACAATAGCTGATTGACTAACTGCCTGACTGTTTGATTGACTGTTGATTAAGATGATGGAAATGATTGAATGAATAAATGTTGCCTGATTCTTCAGCTCACTGATTGATTGAATTACTTTTTAACTAGTTGCTTGACAGCGAGACTGACTGATTGGCCAATTTATTTATTGATTGAGTGCGATTGCTTCACTACAAGGAAATTGATAGGAACTTGCTACTATTTTAAGCCTTAACTTAAAGCTTAGTTAGTGGCTCTGGAATTCAATAGCTTCGAGGTTGCTTGCCAGCGTTGCGTCCGCTTAGCCAAAGTCACAAAAGATGCAAATGAAATGCCCTAAAGCTGAATTGTGAATGCGTTTGCTGATAGCAGGCGACGAGTCTTGGCTATTATTGTTGTTGATTGGCTGTCCCAGTGTCGAGAGTGTCCGGAGCTAACCATTGCCCATTGTGTAAAGCCCTTTGTCAGCTGCCAGTTGGCAATTGGCAATTGGCAATTGGCAGTTGGCAGTTGGCAGTTGGCAGTTGGCAGCTGGCGGCTGCATTTGATTTCATTTGATTTGTGCAGGTGTTTTGCATGTTAATTGATTTCGCTTCTCGTTTTATTTTGCTTCTTTTTATTTTTTATTTTCAATTAGAAAATTTTCTATGCAAAGTGAAATCAAATGGAAAAGCACAAAGGACTCGCCAGCCAGCCAAAGCCAAAGGGTCGAAGCCCCAACTGCTGCGTGCTGCGAGGCTGCGAGGCAACGAGGCTGCGAGTCTGAGGTGAGCTAACGTTCAACACTTGACTTTCATTCTTCAGATTGATTGCTCTGCCGTTGCTTTGCTGATTGATTGGTTCGAGCTTTGATTTGAGTGGCCATTAGCAGAGAGCTATTACTATTCTCCACTTAACTCACCTGAAGAAATCGTTGCGACAATACAGCTTGGACTCGCGGCTGAAGCATTTGTCTGTCAGAGGCTGCAGGCATTCGCAGCATCTCACACAGGACGCGTGCCAGGCTCGTTCCAGGACATTCAGCAGAAATTTGTCCAATATCGGCTTATTGCAGCCGGCACAAGGATCGCCAACGCCGACCGGCGGCTCGCTGCGACCTGCAAAGGAACAAGCATAGAAAGTTAATAAAGCCAATGAAATATGAAAAGCAAATGAAATTCTTGTCGACATTCGCCTCACAGACGATTAAACTGCTTAATAAGACAATATTTACTGTGCGCTCGCACTCAATTTGCCACATTTGAACAGGGAAAAAGTTAGAAATTTTGCCAAAGCAATTTGCAGTAAGTATGCCAAGCCATCAAGGAGCTGTTTACAAGCATTCCCAACACGAAATTAGCTTCGAGTGAAAAACGAAACTCGAATGCTTTTGTTGACCTTTGTTATTATGTGCTCTCTGTCCCTCTGCCCCACTCTCCCTCTCTCTCTCTGTCTTGACTGTTGTGCGCTAAAATCCTTTGAGGCGCAAATTAGCACCTCGCAGGTGCCTCAAGTAAGGCAGGGTTGGGGGTGCGGCGCTCATTAAGCTTGCACATGTGTCTGTGTGTGGATGTGTGTGTGTGTGTGTGTGTGAGTGAGCAAATGAGCAATGCTTGTCTGGGCGCAAACATTTGACGTGCACTGTGCACGCAACACATATAATTTGCAAATGCACAAAATTTACAAATGCACAAAAGAGAGGAGGAGGCAGAGTAAGAGTGAGAGTGGACGAAGGGGGCGACTGGCACCCGAAAAAAACTTAGACAAATTTGGGCAGCGCACACAGTGGCAGCACCTGAGGGCTGCCCACTCATTTGCACCTTTTTCAAACTGAGTGTCCGACTGAGTGGCATATTTGCGCACAAGTGAATAACTTTGAATTGTGAATGGAACTGCTGAGGGCTGACAGCTGAAGTTGAAGCTAAAACTTAAGCTGAGTGCTGGGTGCTGAGCGCTGAATGGTGGAAGCTGCAGCTCTGGCCGAGGCTCGATTCCACCCTGCGGCCAGTTGGGGCTGCCTCGGCTGAGCTGGGCGTGGCGCACACCCCGATAACTGCAACCGTATAATGATAGACGCCAAGCACGGCCCGGGGGCTGATTCCACTCGCCAAGCAAAGAGAGACCCATAGTTCACCAAGAGTCTTCGTCCCCGTCTCCATCTCCATCTCCATCTCCATCTGCTGCTGCTCGATTCTTCAGAGTTTTGCCTCTTCCTTGGCTGCTTCGGTCAATCAGTCAATGGGCAAAAGGCCGCTTCGCTTTGCGTTGGCCAAAAATGCAAAAGAAAAAAGTTGCTGCGCCCACGGGGCATATTTAAGCCGGGACCACAGCTAATATATGTATAGGCGGAGGCGTGGTCATCAGCATCAGCATCAGCATCAGCTCCATATTCAGGTAACAGACCGGCCAGACCGTCTGGCTGTCTGTCCGATTGTGTGTGTGCGAAATTTATTTTCATTCAAAAAGTTTTGCACTTTATGTGCTCAAGCAGGCGGAATGAGTCGAGTCAAGTCAAGTGCAAAGGGTTGCCAAGGCGGTGCACGGGGGAGGGGGGCATGGCCTCACATCCTGGCTAAGCCTGGTGAGAAGCAACTCCAAGCGAGCGCATTAATAATGCTATTAAAGACAAGTTTCGCGTTGCTCATACGCCCCGAGTGTCAGTAGCCAAAATGAATGAATGAATAGGTGAGCGAGCGAGTGAGTGAGTGAGTGAATGCTTGGACAAATGATGGAATGAACAAGCTGACAAACTGACAGTCTGCGCTCTCTACATTATAAATGAGCGACTGACACACTGATTGATTGACGAATTGACTCATTTTGCAGGCAAAGAGCGGGCGAGCCACAGCCACAGCCACAGCCACAGCCACAGCCACAGCCACAACCACAGACAGAGCCAGCGACAGCCACTCAAACTTGGCGACTCCCAACCGAAGCGAGGGGCCAAGCGAGGGGGCTGGGCTGTTGCTGTGTACCAGACCTCGCATATGTCAAAATTGACGGATGTTATCAATCATTTTATGCCGCTGCAGACAATTTTTAATGAAGGTTATAGACGTTTATAGACAGACAGACGGACCGACGGACAGACGGACAGTCAGTTCAGCAGCAGCAGCAGCAGCAGCAGTTGCTGCAGTCCGCAAGACTTTTTAGCTCAGGTTAAACGGTTGCTGCGCTACATCACCATCTTCATCAAGTCGCCCCAGCGCGCTTATTTCGGGGCGTTTACACTGCCTGGCAAAGTTTGCGAATCGTTCACAAAACAGCAGCAGCTGTTCCAAAACAAAAACAAAGAACAAGAAAAATGTGCTCCTAACGAGCTCAAAGAGTTTACGTTCCGATAAGAAGAGTTCTGGGAATCGAACTTGTTGAATGAAGAATTGCAACGATTTTAGACTTTATGAATTGCCTTTAAAGTGTTGGCTAGCCTAGATACAGAAGAGTTTTAGGCTTACTAGCTCATATCTGAGAGACTTCTATGAAGACAAATTCCAATGATCTGTGCCACGTTTTCTGATATTCAGTTAACGATGTTTGGCAGAGCACTGACAATTCGTTTTAAACTTTTGTCAGGCACCGTTTGGTGTTGTTGTTGCTGCTGGTTGCTGGTTGCTGGTTGCTGGTTGCTGGTCGTTGTTTGTCGGTTGTCGGTTGTCGCCTTTGTCGCTGCCTTCGTTGCTTCTGGCGCGTTTTTAAAACGCGACAAATTGTTGTTTGCAGACGCCGCCGTTGCTGTTGCTGCCGCCGCTGCTGCTGTTGCTGTTGCTGTTGTTGTTGTCGCTTAAGTGTCGCAATTTAAATATTGTTGAGTGCACTTTTGGCTACCGTTGGCCATTTATTTTGCGCTGAAATTTATGTAACGATGTGGAAAAATTGCCGCTACTGCAGATGCGACAGGCAGGGCGCGACGCAGAGGCGGCGAGGCACGAAGTCAGCTCTAGGCTACGGAAAGAGCGTCCAAAATTCACTGTCAACAAAACGATTTGGCATCTCGCTCGCACCCACTTGATTCGCGCCTCAACGTCCGCTGTCTCGCTTACGCGCCGTGAGTGGCAATCGCAATCGCAGGTTCATGGATCTCTTTTGGCCACTGTGCAGCCATTGACCGCTGGCAAGGAGAACGAAGCACGTACAAAGCATTTTGCACAACATTTTCCGCGCTCAACAAAGGCCAATAATTGTGTGTCCAGGCAGCAGACTCGACTCCCAGAGCCGCGCAGAGCTAGCTGCATTTATAATGCAGCAGCCGCGGCAGCAGAAGCAGCAGCAGCAGCAGGTTCTTCATGGCTCGCTGGGTCGGACCGGGCAACACCCAAAAGGCCAGCCCCAAAACACAGCAAGAGGCAGCAACCATGGATGGACGATAGCTGCAGCAGCAGCAGCAGCACCAACAGCAGCAAAAGCAGCAGCAGCTGCCTGACCAAAACAATATATAAATATACAATAGCGACTACAACAGCAGCAGCAGCAGCAGCAGCAGCAACTTTTTGCTCAGCTTTGGCTGCGGACTGTGAAAAATTCATTCGACATCAGCGCAAAAAATCTGCTTCAGCTTCAACTTCAGCTCAGCTCAGCTTTTGTTGCAACTCCGGCCAAAAAGCACTTGTGCTGCAGCAGTTGCCTGCTGCGCCATGTTGGTTACGCCTATTGTATAAATCTCCACCCAACCCAGCCCACCTTACCCCTTAGCCCCTCTGCGCTCCCCAGCCATCTGCTGCTTGCCCCCTGCCCTCTTATAAAACGTGACTAAAATGTTAAAGCTCCAAGAAAGAAAATCCAAACCAGCAGCCGTCGCTCAATCGCAATCATTATTTTTTCTCTCTCTCTCTCCCGCTTTTCTTCTCCTTTCTTTGCTCTTTTTTGACAGCAAATCTTATGCAAAATTCCAAATGGAAATGCAGGCAGACCACAAAAAAAAAAAAAAAACTAAAAAGAAAAAAATAATAATAATAGAAAAAAAACATAGAAATGAAAGCAAAGCAGAAAAGTGAAAGATATGGTGGTTGACAGCCGAGGCGCGCTCTACCAGTAGCAATTTGTGGTTATATGCGGCGTATGCGTAATACCGTTTGCCAGCCAGCTGCAAAGCTGCGAACGGCAAACGGCAAACTGCAAACGGCAAACTGCAAGCTGCAAACAGCTCTTGCTCAGCGCTGTTTTCTCTTTTTTTTTTTTGGATTTCGGCTTTTAGCCATTTGCGAATGCTAATGAGGCAGCCAAAACGTTAGACACACATTGAGCTAAAGTTGCAGCTGCAGCGACTCAGAGGGAAGCGGCTTAGCAAAGAGAAGAGAACGATAAGTAATTACTGAGCTATAAAATATTGAATAACCGACCAGCTCTAAGAATCAAGAATCGTATATTGGACTCAAAGATAATTTTAATGAACATGAGAAGCGAATAGAAGCGCTGCTTCCTCATTTAACTATATCGAAGCAGCACTCTTTCTTCGTCTAGAGAGCCTCTAGCTCTCTCTCTCTCCATCCCCGTCTCTATCTCTCTGTGTCTTTCTATTTAATTCTATATTTTTCCCTTTCTAACTCTCTCTCCCCCTCCCTCTCTCCCAAAGCTAAAGTTTTGCATGTTTCTTTAAAGTCGTCTGCATTTTTTCTTTTAAAAATAAAACGACAGCCAAAAAGTTGAATATTTTCATGATAAGCTATATATGATATGGAGTATATGTAACTGTGTGTGTGAGTGTGCGTGTGCACATTATTTGGCCACATAAAGCCATGCGTTAACATTAAAGAGCGCTCGTAAGTCTTTATGGGTCTTTGGAGGTGTTGTCACCTATCCAAGTCAATGCTTGCTCGGCATTTGCCTTTCTCCATGGACTGCGCCTTCGCCCCGTTTTAAGCATCTTGTGTTGCGGTGCCGACGGTTTTTTCTCTTTCTCCTCTTTTCTTTCGGGCCTTGGCTACTTGAGCTGCTATTTTTAATGCGATTCGCTGCGCCTGATTTGACATTTTGATTACATTCAGCAGGGCTACGAGGGCATGAGTAAATTAGTAACTCACAAGCATACCTATAATATATATACTTTATATATATATATATATATATATATATGTGTGTGTGAGTTTGGGAATGTAGAAAAATCCATAAAAAATATTTAATG